ATGCAGTTTTACTGAGCACGGTTGACAGAAAACCGCTTGTGGAGATTGCATCCTGTGAGTGAAGCCAATCTATGCTGAAAAGCCGAGAAGCACAGCTGTACAGCCGTTACATTCTTATTGGGAATCATCAGCGGTGCGCATCTCACGAAACTCCGGAGAACCCGTGACCTCCCGGCTAGTAGTTTGAACACTTGAGCGTTCGCCCAAAAAACCCAAATCTCCTCACACTACCAACAATCTATAAGTGGCTCGGTGGAAAAATAAACTTCATCCGATGAATGAAAACTTCCATCTGAGAATAAGTCGTTGTTCGAGGAGCCAATCAACACATGTGACCACGTGATGTCGATCCCATGATAGAAGGGTGAGTGGCGCTATATCCTGTCTAAGTGCGAGTTAATCACACTGCTGATCAGCCGCTCGTGGCCGAACAGTTAAATGGTGTTCCAACTACTAGCCGGCAAGTCACGGGTTCAAGACTATCTGGAGTTTCGTGAGGTGCGCACTGCTGATGACTCCCAATAGGGGTGCAACAGCCTCTCAGCTTTTCATCATAGACTAACTTCACTTACAGAATGAAATCTCCACAAAAACCCAAATCTCCTCACCTTAATTGAAAAACTCCTTTTTAGTGTTCATCTAATTTAAGAAGGATTGAGAGAGAGTTGCGTTCAAAGGCAGTGGATCGGGTGAGTGGCGATGGCCGTAACAACGAACGCTTTTGCGCAAGCCTAGGATATCGTTATAAATACGGTTTTTTGGTTTGGTACCTTCCGAGTGGTCACAAAAATACACCACTACTTGGATTGACAACCCTTTTGTTGCAAGGCACTGCTATATTGATTTATTTACGGCCCGCATGAATTTAAGTCAGGAAGGGTCTACTTAGAAAGTGTGAGTAGTCAGCTGACAAGATAATCATATGAAGTGGTACGTTTCTGCCAGACACCTTGTTCCAGTCAGTTTGCTGTGCGGATTCGGATATCCTAAATCGTTGGGGAAGATTACGGTTAGTAACCCGGTCGCCAAAATCGTCACTTCCCCCTACGTCTTGATATCCTAAATCGTTGGGGAAGATTACGGTTAGTAACCCGGTCGCCAAAATCGTCACTTCCCCCCTACGTCTTGTGCAAATGAACTACGGTAAAGAAAACTCACCAGTGGATCAGGGGTAAGTTGATGAAGTTAATCCATAGTATTTTAATGAGACTGAAAGAGTTGCACTGCAAATGCCAATGGAATAATCGCTTTCGTTGTGGGAGATTCAATCGACCCTTAGTGATGATTTACAATTTTAGTATCATTTTTTGGCCAACCTGGAACTTTCCGCGTGAGCTACATAAGCAGCCCATTTTCGGCTGCACATGGCGCGCCTGTACGCGCCACTGATCAATAGATCAGCTGATTTGCACGTTTATTGGCTTTCTGGTTTGGTTAAGCGCATCAGGCCATCAAGTGGCTGTTCACAGTGTCAGGAAAGCGCACAACGGTGTTTCTTGTCCTCAGGTTCTGGTATCTTTAGAAAGTGCTCCATCTGATGGCATCGCCCTTTGCAAAGTGTTTACTTTGTGCAGCCGCTTGACGACATAAACGTGCCAAGACGATGGGACACACAATCTCCAATTTGAGTGTTTGTTTCACCTGTTCGCCTCTGGTCTCACGGGACGACAGACTCCACTAGGCCGACTGAAACAGGCGTGACCCAGAAACAAAGAACCTTTGCAAATAAGCATGATGGCGGTCGTGACCATGGAGATATTGGCAGTTCCAAACGGGGAGCGACGATTGTTCCAAGGAGACAAAACCACATATCTGAATCAACTAGTATGACAATTCCACTTAGGGTGACAGAATTTATTTGGAAAATGTTGATGTGTGTTGTGACACGATGAAACAGATGAAACCACATGAAACCACATGACGAAAAGGAGAGGTTATCTACTTTCCTTGAGAAACGTTATAACAATCATCCCTTTTCAATGAGACGCAGGAAGAAGACCGTCGCAAGCTGAATGTAATATGTGGTTTCAAAATGGACTGTTTCGTTTAAAAAGCCTTGAAAAGAAGTTCCCTCTTAGCAGGAAAATATGAAACAACACAAGGGTCCGGCAGTGACAACCGTCCTCGATACAGACTGATCTCCTTCGTAGAAAATTATTAAAAACTAACCTCAGTTAATAAATTACATGTTTAAACACTTCACTCGGAATTCTCAACAACCAGGCGGTTACTTGCTTCGAATTTGAACACTCCAACCTCGGTCAACTTTCAGAAATAAACCGTAGCTTTGCTGACGCTCGTGAACCTGAGTGACTGTTGTGGACCACAGTCTCCTTAATTCCCTCTGATTACCGTGAGCCCCAGTCTGGATAGATTATTGATAGCCTGATGCGCTTGGCCAAACCAGAAAAAGTCAATGAATGTGCGAACTATTGATCACTGTCGCGTACAAGCGGGTCAAAAAAATACGACTCATCTGTCAAGGGCGAGTGGAGAACAACCAATGAAATCTGTCTCAATGAAAACGGCCATTACATTGGCTATTATGTAGTCCAGACTTGTTACCGATATACATCTTCACGATGACCGAGAGTTGTGTGCATTGTAATTTCTTTGAAGGCGTTTCCCTCAGACAGATGGGCGATATTGCTCAACAGGGTCAAACTAGCAGAGTAGCCAGTCAAGAACAGGTTGGTGAAGCGAGTTGCGGAAGTCGGGAACATCTGTACCTCATTCTGTCCAAATACCGGCTAAATCACATTACTGCCGAGCCGGTCATGTATTCAGCTACTAACCGGAGGTAGTTGGTTCTGAAGCCCTGTAGGTATTTTCGAGTTGTTTACGTTGATGATATTTCCAGCAAGGATGAACGAGCTGTACGATGCTTCTCATTCATTTTCAGCTGCTGGATGAATTTAAAACTGAAGTTTCAGCTTCTTTAACACTGTTTACTGATAGGTTTTGCGAGGGAAGGTCCTTCGTGCTAGAAAGTATGGTATCGATTGGTAGACCATTAGGAAGTGACTGATGGTACTCCTTATGGGGCATATTTAGTGATTCCCTAACATGAACCAGACCGATTTCATACTCCTTGTCTAAACTTGTGTATGTGTAAGTAGAAAGATGAACGATCACAATCTGAATTCAAGAGCACTTTGCTCACCAGTCTGTTTTACACCAGTCTTTTTTCTAACCAACAGGACTTTGTTAGCCGCAGTCAACTGGACTTACAAATCCACTCGGTCTCACTACCGACCGTTGTTCCTTTTGAACAACACTCAGAAAGGCAATCCAACTGTTGTATTGTGGCTGACAAGACAGCGGAAGCAAACGTACCCGCCTGCAAAGTCAGCTGCCGTATTGTTCTTGGAGTGTGCTTGTCCGAGAACAGACCAATAGCCCAACATGTTCCGAATCGTCTACCAACCGCAAGGCAACCGAACCAGTCGGGGTTCTCGACTGCGGTGGATCAATGGAGACGGACACGATATCGGGCAGTTGATGTGGTTCTACTACCGAGTGAGTGCGAGCCAGGCGAAGATCATATACGAACGGATGTTTCTGTTGGCAGCTTTCATCGCGATAAAACGACAGATGAGGGGATCAAGACTTATCAAATCCGTATTGTAACTGTACCGTTGGTGAGTGCTTTTCGATTACTTGTTGTGCGACGTAATTTCACCTCTTTTCATCAAATTGGGTCTCATGATGAGGCGATTTTTTTTTCGACAAAGGACCACATAATTCATCCGGTCACCCCAAAAAGAGAAGATGTGAGGAACTAGTCAGATCTTGACATTTGAAAAATAAGATATGGAAGTGACCCCTTGGCATTGCATAGGTGTGGGTTTTTTGTACGAATTTTACATGCATCCGTTGGATGTCATCACCACCATCATCATCATCATCACATCATCATCCATCATCATCATCATCATCATCAGCTGTAGGAACCGCGTACCTGTCGTACACTGGTTGTAGCTGCCACAGTTCCGTTCACCGATGGTTCAGGGAGGTGAGGTAGGTAGCTGATGGTTCACGGAGGTGAGGTAGGTAGCTGCGCATTGGAGGCGGGAGCTGATAAATTAGCGCGTAAATACAGGGCTGTCAGTTGGCTTTAAAGTGGGGGGGTTGGAGGGGAGCAGTGTATTGTAGGCGATACCTTGGATGCAAGAGCGCCTTTGAGGAAGTAACTGGGCCATCTGTTGAATGTTCGGATAACTAACCCGTTGGACAGATTGAGAATCGAAAAATGCGCTCCGAGGGCATGTAAGACGAATGCACTGTTGCTACACACCCCCTGGGTCACTTTCATTTTGGTCCGGACAGTTTTTTTTGTTTTACACCAAAGCAGCCAGTAAGTGAAGCTATGTTTTGTAGCAGGCACTCTCAAATCAGGGCCTGGACCGATAGCACCTTTGTCCTTGGACTGTCAAGAATCCATCGGTCTGATCTGCTGTGCTTTAGGGGGCCACATGTAGGTCACTAGCTAAGGATGTTTGCACGGGGCAATCTTAACCGCAGCTGACTTTAGGTTATACTTTGCGCAAGTCAATACCGTACGGAGGGATCATACAAGTATGTCGGAGGGTTAGAGAGAAAGGTCACCAGCACTGTTCTGATGACATGTAGTACTTCAAAGACCGACTCTGGTGAAACGTGGTGATTCCTGGCGATCAGCACGCGTTCTTCAATCAACGTGCCGGTTTAGATAGACATAACCTCAGGCCCATTTATTGTGGGGAATGTTGAACTCCATTTTGGTTCAAGGACACTGAACTATGTTTCAGAGGTCATTTCACACTTATAAGTCTTACTGGGAATATGGGGAGTCAAACGCTTACCTACGGATTAAGATGATATTACCGTGAAATCTGAAAAAGTGTCGTCTACAGGCATTGATTTATAAGTAGTTTCTCACTCAGAAAAATACCCTATTATCATGACCATCATTCCACCAGAATTAGGTAACACATTTATCTGCAGAATGTCACGAACTACTGAGTCTCTCGTGAATAGCATGTTAAGTTACAAATAACTATTTGTATTCAAACAAATGTTGCAACTTCTCTGACGGGCTGGCTTCTCTTTAAAAGGGCGGACTGTCCGTAATCTGGATAGTTGATTTTGTCGAGTCTTCGTCTCACTAACTACTTTATCAATGATTTTGTCTGGAAGGGATTCTCTTTTCATGTTTTTTAAACTGTCTGTACGTTGTACTTTCAGCACAAAATCACGTTGACGATTACGGTGTATCACCAAAGGACCGATGATGGTGAGTGGTACCTTTTTGAGGTTGTCAATCGAAATCTTAGAGAAAAAGAGCACATTTATGAGGAGTTTCATTCGTACGTGATGCACTAGAAGACAGCATTACAAGAACAGACCATTTAGCAATGAATCACCGCGACCATGACAGGCCTTCGGCCAATGGGAGCTTTAGACTGGATTGCGACCATGTGACTAACAGCGTCACGTGTGGAACGGGAAGAGGGAACAGAAACAACGATGATTCATTGAAAAGGAAGATAGATTTACACACCAGAATTTGCATACTAATGTGGCTTCAACCGGAGATTCAACTGTATCCAGCTGACTCGTTCGTTTATAGTGTTCTTCAATTGACTGAGTCCCAAGAATCGTGAAATCGGTTGTGGGGTACCAAAGAGTTTTCAGCGACCGTATGAGTAGTGTAACCCATCTAGAATTTGCAGTTGACCTTTACCTTTTAAAACTACCATCCCCGCTTCCCCTGTCAACTGACTTTCTTTATCGGCATGGTAGTTGCGTGGGAGCAACAAACCGTGATGCAGTCTACCAGAACAGATGAAGGAGCGTCCCATTCATTTATGCCTACCAGATAACTCTTATTTGGTTTGGCCTAGGCAATGACAGTAGATTTTTTGAATACAAAGGTGTGATATATTTACCAGGTACTGTGTAATATACTGAGATATCAAGCTATGTGATCGTAAATTATTATATCTCACCGACAATGAATACAACAGCTTTATTGCAACAAGCGAGTGCGTGCGAGTGCAAAAGTTACAATGGCCTAGTGCTATCTAAGGGGCACTTTTTGACACTGATCCAGGCTGCCTGATAGGCGTTTAGTGAATACCCATCAGCATCGATCGTGCTTCTGTGACATGCCTGAACGCTAATCACAATAGGTCGTGCTTTTGTGGCGTGCCTGAACACTCATCGGATTTTACTGAATTGATTGAATGATTGATTGGCCTGGATGCTTGCCGGCTTTCCTATTGAGATTTTGGTAGAGTTTTAGGGTCTCAGTAGGTTTCGGGCGTTCTGGAGTTACTTTCAGGAATCTGACCTTCCTGACATGAATGAAGTCCTATAACCTATTCGAGTCCAGTGGCTGGGTAACAGTACTCAATCGGTGATTTGAATATGAGCGCACAAACGTAAGGTCAAACGCAGCATTTACAAATGCCAGTCCACCTTACAGTTCTTACTATCTGCGTCACTTCATAGAAGGTAGATACCAACTTCTTAGATTGGTTGGATCTATAAAAAAACGATGAGTTGTATCATGTAAATACGAAAAAAACCTGTTGCTGCACTTTGAAAGTTGTCGGTTGTAATATACTTGCGTATTGAGCAAACTTAAAGCAACGGAAACACACGATTGCATTTGTACTTTGTGAGGGTCACGTTTATGATGTTGTGATGTTGACGATACTGACGTAGTGATAGGCTCAAAATTTTCTGAAAACAAACTTTTCTGCCTTATGACCTATAATAGAGCAAACTTCATATAAACGTTCTGGTAATCTTTGATATTCCGGGATAGGTCGTGCTTTTGTGGCGTGCCTGAACACTCATCGGATTTTACTGAATTGATTGAATGATTGATTGGCCTGGATGCTTGCCGGCTTTCCTATTGAGATTTTGGTAGAGTTTTAGGGTCTCAGTAGGTTTCGGGCGTTCTGGAGTTACTTTCAGGAATCTGACCTTCCTGACATGAATGAAGTCCTATAACCTATTCGAGTCCAGTGGCTGGGTAACAGTACTCAATCGGTGATTTGAATATGAGCGCACAAACGTAAGGTCAAACGCAGCATTTACAAACGCCAGTCCACCTTACAGTTCTTACTATCTGCGTCACTTCATAGAAGGTAGATACCAACTTCTTAGATTGGTTGGATCTATAAAAAACGATGAGTTGTATCATGTAAATACGAAAAAAACCTGTTGCTGCACTTTGAAAGTTGTCGGTTGTAATATACTTGCGTATTGAGCAAACGTAAAGCAACGGAAACACACGATTGCATTTGTACTTTGTGAGGGTCACGTTTATGATGTTGTGATGTTGACGATACTGACGTAGTGATAGGCTCAAAATTTTCTGAAAACAAACTTTTCTGCCTTATGACCTATAATAGAGCAAACTTCATATAAACGTTCTGGTAATCTTTGATATTCCGGGAAGTCTACACCAAAGGGAAGCACTGGACTCGAGCTTCGCTGTTATTAGAGCTCATCATCATCATCAATCGATTGTCACAACCAGGACAGTTACTGGGTTGTCATTCGATGAGTCGGGCACACCAATCACATCGCTCAAGTGTGTACACATTCGCCTGTTCAGACGTGATAATTCAGATGCGTCCAACGTGCGTTGGTGGAGTAGTGGTTACACGCTCGCCTCGCATGTCACATGTTCGGGGTTCGAATCCCGGCACGGCCATTGGATATGCACTGCCGGTGAGCTCCAGTAAGAGCGAAACTCGAGTCCACTGCTTCCCTTCGGTGTGGACTCCCCAGAATAATTACGCCAGAGCAGGAGGACGACCGTTCAAACCAGAGTGGTTTGACTAAGGACAAAATACCTATCCCGCAAAACCCCAGAAATGGCAATCTTCAGTAGTTTGAAAGACTGTACAGCAGAACATCACTTATCGACGGCGTCTTCTGTTGAGTTGATTCCTCGCATCCACAGTGGTCGAACTCCTGACCATTGAACAGTAGTCTGCACGCAGTGAAACCCATCGCAACTCCGCCACATGCGTTACTTATCCAGACATGTAACGATGGGAGACGGAATAACCGTTTATCTCTGCTACACAAACGAATAGTCTCCTTCAATTAAATCGCATACGCTTCTGTCTAGACCCCGATGCGTTACCAGTGATTTGGTGGGAATACTGTGTTCGTAAGAGACCCACCATAATGGCTGGCAGGCATGCGTGTGTTGATAGTGCGAGCGTATTTGGGAGATCTTCAGCTGAAATTTTGTCCTCTTGGTGGAGCTACTCCATGCTGAAAAGCCTAAGAGATGCTGCATCCTTACTGGGAATCATCAGCGAGTGTTGAAACCTCGATGAAACAGCTGTACAATGCTTCTGGGCTTTTGAGCATTAATTGACTGCGCTTACAGAACGAACTCTCCTCACTCTACCAATACAACTTCACTACATAAGTTAGAAGGTTGAAAGCACGCCAAGTTGTATGTATTCTCTTTATTTTTACGCTACATCCCCCAGTATGGAAAACCCATGGCTAAAAATTACAGTCAAAAATTTTGTCTTTGGTTTTTATCCGATGCCCCCCCGTCTTTTTGTGCTTTTTCTCCTCTGCCTGATACATAGTTAGAACCCATACAGCAAGGGGCCACCTGAGTGTTCGACTATTAAATGAATGAACTACACGTAATATCGATTTTCAACTGCCCCCCTATATGCCTAGATTTCAGAGTGTTACTCAAAATCATTTATGAGTTAGCGTGCCGAAAAATCGCCTTTGAGTTTATCGTATCATTACTGTATACAATGGAAATGAAAGTCACTAAACTGAATTTTTACATGTGTGACAAACTAGTTCACTGACGATTACACGTACATATTTTACAGTATGACCTACGTTTCCCCCCCTGACGTTTTTATGTACAATTTAACAGAACTGATACCGATCGATCGTCTTCAAAAGACGTTTGAAAGATTTCCTGTTGGAAAAACTTGGTCGACGATTGACATGGTTGCAACTGCTGTGGAAAGCAACCAAACAAAAGCGGAGCAGTCGGACGACATATCTGAGCATTTGCCCAAAGAATCCATCAATCGTAGACCCTCGTCAACCGGCACTGTACACAGTCTTCAAATACGCTATCGGTACAGCTGCCGCCGAAATTACTATGGGCCATCTTGTAATCACTTCTGCGCCCCGAGAGATTCAGCGCTTGGTCACTATAACTGTCATCCACAAACCGGCGCAATCATATGTCATCCAGGTTGGACTGGAACATGGTGCAACGTAGGTAAGTCCATCTTGAGTTCTCCGTGGTTCGTTCCTATCTTGAGGACCAGTTCCTCTACTTGGGAGTCTATCACAGAGAAGCTCCACATTAGTCAATAATGGGGCGCAATTTGGTGGTTCTGGACTTTGAATGATGTCAAATGTTTAACTCATAGTTAAATGCTTATTCAAGCGATGCAGGACGCTCGTGATCTTTTTCAAAGTTAGTCGGCCACGAAAATCTAAGGATAGAGGGAAGTCAACATGAGGATGACCAAATATTCTGAAAACTGTTCTTTCACTGCCAGTTGCTTTTAAAAATTAGTCTACATCCACAATTAGGGTACATCAAACGACATCGTTGATCAAAGTACAGGCAAAAGTTTCTTCCTATGCTAGTTTACTTCGGTGCCACAAAAGTCTGGAATTCTAGAGGCGCTGTCTACAAAAACCAAGGAGATATCAGTTTTTTAGTGATGATCATTCACATGGAAGTTATGGGCTTACGTATAGTCACAAAATAATGGCTAAGGAGAAGATAGTACGGCTACAAGGTCACTACGCTGTTGACACGTGATCCTCGCCGCTCCGGCTTTTCTGACCGGGAGACCGAAGGAAGAGTTTGTACGTCATCATCATCATCGTCATCATCATCATCAGGATCAGTAGAAGCAGTAAAAATAGTATCAGACTTCGAAAGAAAATACTCACTAAGCTTAATACTCTAAACTCTGTCACCCCATTCCCCTAGAGTCTAATGAAAACAAACATCTGGCTTCGTATTTATTTCAATTTTGTGTTCCCACTACTTGAATTTTCCCAGTAGTATAACCAAAGGATTTTCATTCCTCCAGCCATGTGCCCCGCTGGTTGCGTGCACGGAGTCTGCGAAGAGCCCAACATATGCACGTAAGTCTAAATGTAACTTTCAACTTTCATCGTGCTTTCAAACTGAGTGGTCGATTTTTTCAATCGAAACGGAATATTCATATTAGTTGGAAAGCTCGGGAAGGCCCAACGCGTCACATTATTTCAAAAAGTGACTTTTTGCTCAGGAAACTTGAGCGAGGTAGCCAAGCGCATAAAGTGCATGTTGCGCGCCACATCAGCACCATATTCTGGCCGAGACTCTCCAAAATCGAAGTGACTGTACTGTGAAGAGAATGATTCGAAACTCCATTGATGCACGACTCTAGTAACGTGTCCACCCCCAGGTGCAATCGGGCACCCATAAGGTGGTAAATTTGAGCACAGTGTCTGGTAACAATACCAACATCTGACTAGAACTTTTCAGCACTTGGGTAATTAACTCTATTAACTGTGCCGCCAGTGTTAACGGTTCAGTGCCGCTGGCGTCAGGTCATTACTATTTAGATCGGCGTGTCGAAGGAGTTGCGTATGTGAGTGACATACACGAGTTGTTACGTGGTAAAACAACACAAATATTGTTGTCTACGCGTAAAACACTACCCATAAGTTTGCCGATCGGTGTTGCCTTTATTGGGGCCCATCAGATGGGTGCCATCCGTGAGATCCCGTCATCCTCATGTTCCAACTGTACCTGAATTGGATAGATTTCGATATCTGGTCCCATTTGCACACGAATTTGGTTTTGACAGGAGCACCTGTAAAATTAGAGTTCAAGTAGAACATGAAGTTGGCGGAAACTCGAGGACACTATACACCTGATGAGCTCTAACAAGCGCAGAACTGGTCATGATCGGTTCGAGCGTTTTCAACAACCTTACGAGTAGTGTGCCATATCTGAACAATGACGTATTGTGACAGCTTGAATATCATGCTATTAGGAGAACCAGATCCGAACGTAATGAGACTACGTAACAGCCAATGAAATTACCTTTTTCGCTGAGACAGATTTCATTGGTTGTTCTTCACTCGCCCTTGACAGATGAGTTATAATTTTTGTACCACTTTTTTGACCCGCTTGTACGCATCAGTGATCAATAGGTCAGCCAGTTCGCATGTTCGTTGACTTTTTCTGGCATAAAGGCCACATGCACCAGGCTATCAATCGGTTCACGGTAATAAGAAGGCATTAATGAAGGTGTGGTCCACAACACATACTGACTGATGCAACACATTCAGCCGGATGTCTTCTGTCAAAACCAAATTTGTGCGTAAATGGTGGTGGCTGTCAGATCGCAGATCGTATCAATTTGTAAACCAGTTAGAAAGTCGACAATTGGAGTGCATCGAGGGTCATCGTTGACCAAAGTCCAGACAAGTGTCTTTTTCCTATGCGAGTTTACTTCGGTGCCACAAAAATCAGGAATTTTCGAACCCATCTGCACAAAAACCAGGGATAATGATCTGGTTAGCTTTCAACCGGAGATTCGAAGGGCTTTTTTAACCAATGACTGATAAAATTGCTGAACCTGATATTCTATCGCCTTTCATTACGGCTGAAAATATTTTTGAATTGTTCATCATAAATTAATTTCTTTATATCCAGAGTGAAAGATAGTAGATGGGCAAGTTAGCTAACCCGAGGATTGGACGGATAAAACCCCATCTTTTATTTGGGATTATGCCGATACCGCTGACACAACAGTAAAGACTTAATTCGATGTTGAAGCACGTGATCAAGCACAAGTGATGAAGACTCGGGGAGTAGAACCACCAGTTGAGCCCCCGTACGGTTGGAATCGGTGACAGACTTTTCAGGAGCCGCCATCATTTTCTTCGAGGAAAATATTTGGATATACTGAATGTCGTTCAAACAGTCTGCGCAGCATACTATGGAAGAGAGGTTCAGCTAAGATTGATTTGAGATTCTAGTTAGTAGTATGAGGATTTCCCTACGAGTATTCGTCTTCACCCCAAACATCCAAGGTGATTTTCGCATTCGAAACAGGACTACTGCGAATTCGGAGACTTGCTTTTTCTCGTGACTCACAACGAGTCTCATCAACCCATGAGGTCCATATCTACTAACGGGATAGCATTTTTATCAAACTACTTAAGAAGAAACTAGTAACTAACTTTTTATCGAGGTGCATGCAGGGAAAACAGCTACCACTCAAGGTTTCGGCAGAACGGTCGTCGCTGATAGGACTGGATCGTGATGCGCTACCAAGTGATCATTCAACATACTCTGGATTCTTGACCTTATTCAGAGATAATCTGCACTGCCATTCATAGAAGTGACCAAGACAGAGTACGGCTACCATAGACTAATCATCATTCTATGTCTTATCACGCAGCTGGCAGCGATAGAGATAACGATTACGCGTTTCAAGCCTGTCTTGTGAGCCGAGAAAGAATGCAGATTTGTCTAAGACCTCCTGCGTGTTGTCGCTTTTGAAAAAGTTGTTTCGAGGTCGTACACGTGATGCAAAGTGCCTCGTGGTATATCTTACCATTTTACACGTTTTGGGATAAAGTATGTGTACTTGATGAAGTCACCCCGCGGTTATGTTGGCCGTACTACTTTGCAAGGTGTGCAAACATTTACGGTCAATTTTGATGGAAAGGATATCAGATCTGGCTAAATATTGGTAGCTAGGGTGAGCTGATTGGCTGTCGGCTTGGAACAACGTGTGGCAGAGCGTCATCAATGCGCGTTCGAGTGGATAATTCATCGGGATAAAATCAACACTAATGAAATGCACACCAGTACCAAAGGTGAATCCATAGGTCGGAAGAATCAAGAGGCACAATACAACAGAAATGAATCAGTCAATTCAAAGAAAGATAGCTACTAAAGTGGATGGTGGTTGACTAAACAATCAAATTACAGGGGGACTGACTGGGACGCGATACACAGGGAAAGTGAACTGAACCAATCTAAATAAAGCAACAGAGCCAAAGAAAGCAAAGTACTCAATGAACCAACCGGATGCAACATAGCCAGACCACAGAGCAACAGAGTTAACTGGAAGTTCAACCACGTTACTTAGTGCCCAATCTTCAAGCCGCCTGCAGGATGTAAGTTATCACCTATCTTTTAGAAACCTTATTACCAAGAGCAGAAAGGAGACGGATTATTCACCTAACCGCTCATTAACGATGTCCGCACTCGCATGGTGACGAAACGTTTGCAAGCCGATGATCAAGCTCGATGAACAGATCAACAGCCAAGAATATCAGATTGGTATATTCTAGCAGTCAGTAGATATATATTGTCATCACAACATACTTCCAAGATCCGGCGTGTGTTCCAGTAATCTAATGTGTCCGCAAAACTCTCCAACCACAAGAAGTTGGGTTCCAAAGGTGTTTGTTCGTAGGAGTTGGAAAACACAAGGGATGTGGTACTCTTCAGGAAAATCAAATCTACAAAGGAGCACTTAACATGTCAGGGGGAGATTCGAAGCTCAGGCCTACCGCTTGGAAAATCTAGGCTCTTATAAATCTAGAACTTTAGGCTCCACGAGATACATCTTAGTGCGCTCAAGTACTTTTTCTTTTCTTTTCCTTGCAGTCTAAGATGAATGAACTCGATCGGACACCGAAGAAATTAAGGGGAGAGTTGTACGGATTCAATAGCTTTCGATAGAGCCAAACATTCTGGTCTGAAGGTATGGTCATGGGTGATGAAGACAGTCATACTTTTAGCGAAGAATGGAGGTGATTCGGAGCACAGAGAATCTCCCTAGGAGACGAAGGGTGTTGAGTTGAACCCCAATGATCCATAGTGTTTCGTGCAGGTGGAATTCCTTCGAACTATGTGTAATCTGCCCTTCATCTAGTGAGAATTCAACCAACTTTGGGTTCGACTTTAGTTGAGTATGGTGTGCTGACAGATTTTCTAGCAGAGTGCTTTGTTAGTGTACGAATAGCGAAATGAATAGAGCTCATCCTCTATTTAACTGTATCCACTCCTTCCGCAGCTGCTCAGATGGATGGAGCGGTCCTACGTGTGATGTCTGCATTCCTACACCCGGTTGCAAGCACGGTCAGTGCAAATTCAATGTGGACCACGCTGATTTCGAACCATACACATGTCAGTGTAGTGTGGACTGGACGGGAATGCTCTGCACTATAAGTGAGTTTGTTACCGCGCCGTATAGTCCATTCCCGTACGCCATCCAGTGTGGTCACAGCGCGAAAGAAACTTCCTTTCGATGAATTCAGGTTATGCTAAAGCCTTGTACGACAGAAATGAGCTGCTCCGGGGCTGCATGTTCCTGGACTTTTACCAAAATTTCACTACCTGATATTTCCTCACGGTGACTATAAATTTTGATGAATTTGAAAACTACTGACGCTAGTTAGAGACGGGTGATACTAACCATGTAAATGAATGAATGCTGGTGAAATGAAGAAGGCCTTTGCTGCGGAGCTGTCTACTAGAAAACACCAAATGAATATATTGGACAGGGAAGCGAAACTCTCATATGCATCTTGTTTACAAAAACTGAATATCCATCCTCTCCTTAAACATGTCTTCCTGAGATTATCTGGATAATAATTGATTGTTACTCAGATGCTACAAAGCGACTCCACATATTTCGTAATACATCTCACTTTTCAGGAGACGCAAAGCGGATTTACAAGGAAACACTACTCGGATGCCTTATCAGTAGTATCAACAGTTACACTGGTAGCTCGGATGGTGAGAGGGTGCATGATAGCGAAACGTCTGCAAACCAGGTACCAAGTTCAAAAAAAATAATCGACTGCTACCTGATCAACAGCTAGTTGGTATCACGGGTTTCAAGTTGGGAAACAAGGTGTGGTGATCAGAGAAAAATTAAAGTACTCTTCGAAAAAGACCTACAAACGATGCATTTACAGACGATGATTCAAGCTGTGTGTAATTGGGCCTTCAGGCGAACCATATCCACTCGCCTCGCAACTTTCTGTCTTCCGTTCCTACAGGTGTTTTTCTAAAAGGCCTTATGATCTCTCTTCACATTCGTATTGACCTTTGTGTAAGTCAGTCAGAACGTTACCAAAAATACTCCAACGTCATTGGTGGAATATGGTAATTGCTCTAGGCATTTCTGTGAACCAACCTCTTGTTAGAATCTCTGAGGATTTCGGAAATCCCAGGCTGTGAAGTCACATCACAGTTGAACTTATCCACCGCTGCAAAAACCGGACAGGGTTCTCGCCATTTCTATGGAACTCATCAGGTAGACATTACCCACGAATGGTAAATTAAATCCACGTGGAAATGAACAGGTGGTTGTCAATTAACTTAATGTTGACAAGTCCATTTTTTGTAACGTTTTTTAACTAAATGGACTGAACCAAGACCGTTTCGCATCTCATTTAGAATGATGCATAAAATCGAAAGTTTCTTTTGGAATGCACTACTCGTATGGTTGCTGAAAAGCCGTCAACCTCATGAGTAGTGCATTACAAATACGCATGTATCGCAATATCTCGAACATGGTAGCGACTGAAACATGAGGCGGCCTGGTGCAGCACACTCAGTCGCCTGGAAACATCACAAACAATCGTTTCAGCTGGGTTCCAGGTGAGTCTCTCGAAAAACCATACTGGTTTGCAAATAAGTGTGCTTCGATAAAATTTCTTTATTTAAAATGAAATTTCGGATGAATTTCAGTTGAGTCCCCAGATTAACACCAAATTACTTTGCAATTGGGTGCTTTTTCCCATCTTTCATACTGTTCGGCGGGAACTCAACACAGAGCACTGGCACCTACCCACGCCAAAGTTTAACAATGAACAACAGTTGACCGATCATCCATGAGTTGGGCTTGTTCGCATGATAGTATTGATTTTTAAAAGCATACTCTGTTGTTTCAGAGAGCGAGGATCGAAGTCACAAGTGAGTAGTAGTGTACAGGCTTCAAAAATATCACCGGAAAGTATACGTCCAAAATTCCAAGGTGAACTCGGAAGTCACTGCATTACAACAATAAATTTGTCAAGTGTTGCTGTGTCTACTTTCCTCATTTGTACCTTTTTCGCCTCCGAAAAACAACAGATACAAACGCCTGCTCACTCACTCCAGACATATGCCAGAATGGTGGGACGTGTTTAAACACCCCGGATGAGTCCGGATCAAAACCACTTTATGTGTGTATGTGCCGAGAAGGCTATCGTGGCACTCACTGCGAGCAGCATATACCTGGATGTGCCTACCATGGGTGCAGTGGAGCTGGAAGATGTCAGGTATGTCTTGTATCGGTCGTAATGTACTTGGTATTTTCTTCGTAGCCACAAAATGACTGACTCAACTTGTGGGGGGGGGGGTGCATCTACTGTCTCCAAGAGACACAGATGAACTTTGCTCATAGCTGATGTCCTAGTGTGGGAGCTCAGAGTCTTGAAACATACGCCATAGAGCGTACATAACATTCATCGATGCATGGGGGCGAGATGGATCAAGTGGTTAGAGCACGAATTTACTGACCGGAAGGTCCATGGTTCGAACCCGACCTCTGCCACTCGACTCCCCCTGTCTAGGCTTGGGCAACCCGACAGTATCCCAGCCCCCATGCTTCCTTCGGGTGGCATGGCAGCTAGGCACCGAAAGGGCGCTACAGCTGAACGATTATCATTATTATTTATCGACGCACGCGGGTGTCTCAACCATGTTTGTTTCGAGTAAGGCGACCGCACGGCCAGACTATGCCCTTTGTGAGCAATATTCAGGTCTGTGAATTGCAAGATCAACGCAGCAACAGCTGTGATATCTTCCGCATCAAACTAGTGTGTTTATAGTCCAACAGCGTCAGGGTTGTGAACACATCCAAGATGCTGTAAACGTCTGCCCCGATCAAAAGCCGCTGGTAACTTTATTAATGGATGATGAACTATCCACTCATTGTACAACCCGTTTTGGACATTCATCCATTGACGCCAGTACCACCACACCTTAAGGAATCGATGATTCCGCAGTGAGTAAAACGCAGTGGCGATTGGATCTACATCACTACTCAGTACGGGATCGATCGAAATATGCAGATTTGGTCGCATTTTTCCAAGGGAACTGGTGGGCCAGCTATTTGAACCATTTCGAGTGGCTAGTGGATGTCTTTTCCAGACTTTCTACTGTTAGCAAATAGAAACGTGGAAGTGTGATGTCAGTGACTGCAAAGATCCGCGTTATGTCTGCAATGCTCGGTTTTGTGGACCATTATATCTGTGTCGATTTACACTGAAACTTGGCTGGTGAACTTTACCAGGCTTGGATCACATAAACAATGCAGTCAGAGTTTCGTGGTCTTAATTTCAGCCCTCCCAATTGCCTTGCAGATTGCTTTCAAAAAATAGTGGGCCATTTTATGTTTTTCAGCGTAGTTTATCTACTGAACTAACAATATGAGGCAATTTTACGTCTTTTTGTGACTACATAACATCGTTTTCGTAGTTTCACGGCTTTTTTAGCCTTTTGATTGCCGATTTTTTGCCTCAAGGCAGAAGACAAAAGTCGCCACCTTTTGCTTATAGACTGTAAAGGACCTCCAACTTCAGTTCGCCTTTTCGTAAAAGATCTCCACAGTTGAATGAAAAAATGAAATAATATCTCTCCAGTGGTATGAGCAATTTTCGTACAATCTTCTAACTTTGGTCCGTTCAAATTACTGTGGCAGAAGCCTTCAGACTAGAAAACAAAATTAGTCAAAATTTGGAAAATAGTCAAACAGATCGCAAATCACAAAATCTCCTCAAACGATTATCGATCTGTGATTGGTTAGGAGGAATGAAGCTCTCGTTTGAGAAGTCGTCACTGGAGCAGCCAATCAATACTTGACCACGTGATGTAGTTTCCGTGATTGAAACACAACTTGACCATAGTCTAAGTGAAGGCTAATCACGCTGCTCGTATTGAGCCACTGGGTAGACGGTCACCCGTTCGAGATTCTGATTTTTGCGAGATGCGCACTTCTTCCCAATAAGGATGAAACAGATGTACAATGCTTCTCGACTTTCCACAAACTACCAAAATATTGGCAGTTTGGGTGTACTTTTCTGGTGGTTGATCCGTTCGCTTGGCAACCAGGCTGCGAACGAGGAAGTACCCACTCGGTTACACACTGATCATGCCTCCTCGACGAAAAGTTCGCAAACTAATTGCCACACTCTTTGAGAAGACAAGCGGCCAATTGATCCGCCTCAGGACCCACAAACTTCAAGATCGGCCACTGTCAGGGCGCGCCCAGACAGGAGAAAAAGTACACGTGCAGAGAGTGGCGCATCCTCAAGGTCACCAACGGTTCGACACGTCCGGAAAGTAGGTGAGTTGGCGGCTCCCACCAAACGGCTTAGCAACACACAGGACCAGCGTAGTGGGCCTGAGAATGTTCACGACCGGAACACCGCCATTGGCTGTACGGAGCGAACAAGTGAACGAGCATATTTGGCCAATTAGTCATCCTATATATCTACGCAGACGCTCTGTACGTTTTGTCCTGGCAATACAGCCGTGTCCCCAGTTCTCTCTCTTCTCCCTGTCGCGTAGTCTGGCAGGCGCAGTGCAGGCTTAACCCCATAGCTCGACCACCGCACAAGATACAACAGTCACTGACTGGGTTGCACTGAGCGGCTCAAACAAAGCAATCAAGTGTCAATTGTACCATCAACTAACGGGTTTCACCACCCATGTTTCAGTCCACTTCCCATTTATGGCTCTTTACCCAAAGCATGCATGGGAAGCAATATTCCAGATTATTAATGAGGCTAACTGCACAGCGTGATTTCACTGCACTTTTTCATTGGCTCGTTCATCGAGCCGGACACTTCAATTCCACCAATAGTCGAGGTGACATAACCAGGGTATTGGGTGGGGACGTGAGGCGACAAAATTCCACATTGTCTAACGAACTAGTCAGTTTTTCTGCCACCTATCGTGTCTAAAACGGGCCTTTGCAGACTCACCTTCAGAAAGTAAACGAACCAGTGGGTCTTCTTATGCGGATTTCGTCCCGTGTGTGAAGCCAACCTATGCCGAGAAGCCGAGAAGCAATGTACAATCAACAGTGTCTGTCTAAGGAAAATCAAAGTTTTGAACCCGCGACATTCCTGCCAGTGCTCGAACATCTGAGCAAGCGCGTATAATCAGTGATGCGAGTAGTTATCATTTGGATACAATGGAGTGCCACTCATTCTGTAATCACAGAAACCAAATCACGTTCTCACATACTGACCAGTGACTAATTCTCCGGAGGCTTCACCTATACTTTGAAACAATTCTTCCTCCGAGCTACTTATTGATCGTTAGTAGTGTGAAGAGATTGACTGGTTCGCATTGATTGGCTCCAATGGCGGTACGAAATCTATCTGCAATCAGCTTAGATGAACGATACAGTTTAACTGATGAGCGAAAACTACATATGAGAAGTCTTCACTCGAGCATCCAGTTAACACGTCACCACATTATGTGGTTTCAGTGGCTGATCACAATCAGCAGCCGCTCGTAGCCGAATGGCCAAGTGTTCAAACTACTCTCTGACGGTCGCCGTTACGAAACTCGATAGCGTTCCATGAAATGCACGCTACTGATGACTCCAAATAAGGACGAAACAGCCACACACTGCTTCTAGACTTTTCGGCATAGATTGGCTTCACCTACAGGAGAAAACTTTGATTAAATATTCCGAAATTTGCTCGCCCTACGAACGATCCATTGGGCTTATCTTGTAACGCTTCCTGTGTTCCAAATTACGGTTTATTGTGTCTTGCTTGAAAAAAAAACTATGCTATAATTTAAAGGAAAAACTGAAGTCGTATCAAAACACCAGAAGTCTTCTTAGTTGATCATATATGCAGGTTTACAGCGTCACTTCCCTTATCAGGTATGCACACGGCTGTTTACAATGTTTCGTTTCCAGCCCGACGGTCAGTGTGACTGTCACGAGGGGCACTACGGTTCTCAATGCCAATTCAACCAAACTGACTGCAACCAGAATCCATGTATGGGAGAACTGTCTGAATGTATACCCACCGCGAGATTCGTTCAAGACAAACACGACCTCAGAACCCCGATGGGGCTTCAACCATCAGGTCAACCGAGGGGTTTCAAGTGTCTCTGTGAACCAGGACGTTATGGAGGCAACTGCGAACAGGAGCTGAACGCTTGTGAAAGAGAACAATGCTTTAATGGTATGTTGCCCGATATGCTCGTCCGCCATTTTGCAATATATTTAGTAGATCTATGAATTTCCAGATTAGGTTACGCGTTGAAGATATGCGAAAGGAGAGACATCATCCATCTAGAACCTTTTTAAGCAAGCAGAATTGCTGGACGAGCTAACCGAAGAAAGGAATTAGAGTAACGATAAACTCATCCGGCCTTGCTACTCTAGGGTTGGAGAAGACGACGGTGCTCCAAGCACCCTCCTAGCTTCATACTAGACCATAGAAGTACGAAAAAAATTGAAGTGTCGTCAAGTCCTTTCCTCAGTATATATCTGAAATCCGCGGGAATGATTTAGGAAATTGCCATTCGTTTAGGACAAACAGTGTGCTATCGACGGTAGGAATGTTCGGGACTGCTTAGTGCTTCACATCCCGACTGCGATAGCTCACAAACCATACAAAACACCGGTCGCACAATTGGTCGGTTGAACTATCTGGTGCGTGACGGGGTATTCAAGGTCAAGTCGACACCGATGAGGAGAAGACAAGCGAGCTGAGCTGAAACCACACGCTTAATAGACCCTGTTTAATTAACCTTCGTCAGTTTGGGGATGTTAACCTTCCACATGCTAGTCAAATGGAGCAATACAGTGGAAGTAGCGAACTGCCTATAGTTTGCTAAGTCGGAACGAAGGTGTAGCAAACCTCGTGCCTTGTAAGGCCGCATTTGTTCCACACCAGTCACTCCGACAGGTAAATATGGAGAAGCTGGTCACCAACCCTAGACAAGAGCGACGTAAAATTTACAAGCTGTTGCGTTTGTCCTATTTTTATGGTGTACACTCTAGTCTACGTGATCCACCCAAGAGGTTTGCTGGAATACAGTTCCACGATCAATGTAGATTCCCCTTTTGGTTTTCACAGGTGGGCGTTGCGTCAGTATGCGTCACGGTTATCAATGCATCTGTCCACCAAGGTTCACCGGAAAGCATTGTCAAATACCTGTGCAATCATGCCAAGAAATATCATGTGCGAATAATGGCGAGTGTCTCGAAGGGGGAGTGCATTTCAGTTGCCACTGTCCTTTCGGCTGGACTGGCCCAACTTGCCGACAGAACGTGAACGAGTGTGCCGAAATACCACGACTCACGGGACAAGCACTGTGTGAACACGGAGCCGGTTGTAGAGATTTGCCTGGGACTTACCAATGTCTATGCCCAGCAGGATGGACCGGGAAGCATTGTGAAATCCCCCAAGAACCGGCGCAGTGTTTTTCCGGACAGAACTGTACCCGAACAACGCAACATTTGCGCAACGTTACGCAGTCACAACAATCGACCACTCACGTGGTAACCCTTTTCACAATCGTCACCATTACAGTTCCTATCACAATCGCTGCATCTCTATGTGGACTTGTGCTCCTGATATCAAATTATAGGTCACGTGTTAAAGGAAATCGATACGTGACCATCAATTGCGATAATCACGGCTTCAAACCAAACAATTCCTACGGCCCTTCGGAACAGGATACGCATTATAGGAATGTGTTCCCAGCCAATCAGTCGCACGGCTCATCAACGGATGTGTCAGACATGGTTACTTGTAAAAAGAATAGTAGTATAGTAAGCATTATATCGGACAGAACAAGCGACATGACTGACCCGCTTGACCATTTACCCCATTCTAAACAAAAATCAATAATCACACAAAAGCAATTGAAGTTCAGCCCGGAAGTCTTGACATTACAAACGGCCCAATTACATTTCGATTCACAACCCACTTACGCTGTTTGCGAAAATCTTATATCGGATGAACATTTTATGACAAAACTGTACGCTAGATCATCTCCCCCGCCACCGTACGAACCCGCAGCAGTTATTGGTTGATGGGATCTTCGTTTGAATGCGGTGCCCCCGCTCACCACTGATCGATCAAGTACGTCTTGAAGCTGTGTGGATCGTGCAGCGCTTGAGGTTAATTTCAAACCACATCTGACGAACACAACTATGTACAGATAATCATGACGGCGATGAACTGCAAACTTGATATGTTCGCAACAAGTATGCATATTTTTCACAGATTTTCAACAATTCGATCATTATCTTATGAAAGCATGTTGAATCCGTCCAAATGTGTGTTCCAAACCCAAATGAACAAGCGATCACGTTCTACATGAGAGATGAATACGCACACGCACACACAGACAACGACCAAATTATTACGCCTTCTTGAGTGTTTTCCTAACTAAAACAGGGTCGACTTCTACGAGGGGAAAAGTGAGCCTGAAGAAATATAGAAATGGCACGTCTCATTTTCATTCGTCCATATTCGAAGGAGTACGGGTGTTGGAGACTATGATACATTGATTCAAATTGGTGAATCATGCGATCCATTAGCATACCAAGTCACATGATACGCGTCTAGGATACGAGCATATGAGGCTCTCGTTGTCGACTGATGGATTATGATACCGTTTTATTCGGAACCGACTGAAACTAAAGGAGACGAAGTGGTAGTTTGGGTCATATGAATGCAGTTTGACCTGTCGATCATGAGACCCCGTGGCATTCGGAAGCCTTTGGTCAAAACGAAGCGCACAGTCCCGTATGCGTGAGCGTCACAGCCAGAGGATTGCAGGTGTGAGAATTTGACCTAACCATTCGATTTTTTAGCCTGTCGGTTGACTTCTACGTCGATCGAGCTCAGCGTTTCGAAGGAGACTATATTTGGCTAAGGTAGCAAAGACCTCTAGCGACAGGCTACTTGTTTGTACATTTGTTTATTCAGCGCCACATTACCAAAAACAGTTTTATAACAGGTTCTCCACACCCACGAAAAGGCTGATTTCGTACAGCAGACCAAGTTAATCAATAAACGCACTGTCACCCAATCGCCGGTACTTAGGTGAGCTCAAATTACACCACCTGGACCCTTGCATCAAAAGCCTAAATTGCCTTGGCTTTAAAAAAACAGTCCATTGAACATACATAAGAAACCGGGTACCAGTTAGCCGTAGATTCACGCCATTTTCACAAAAATAGCAGGCAATCGCGTCTCCGAATGCTGGTTTAAACCGTCGAGCGGATACATCGTTCAGCTGTAGCACCCTTTCGGTGCCTAACTGCCACGCCACCAAAGGGTTGCAAGAGGGCTGGGATACTGCCAGGTCGCCCAAGCCTAAGCAGGGGAAGTATAGAGGCAGAGGGGGCGAGATGGCCCAAGTGGTTAGAGCACGAATTTACTGACCGGAAGGTCCGCGGCTCGAACCCGACCTCTGCCTCTCGACTTCCCCTGTCTAGGCTTGGGCAACCTGGCAGTATACCAGCCCTCGTGCAACCTTCGGGTGGCATGACAGCTAGGGACCGAAAGAGTGCTACAGCTGAACGATTGTTTTTAATTTTGGAGAGGCAGAGGTCGGGTTCGAACCACGGACCTTCCGATCAGTAAATTCACGCTCTAACCACTTGGGCCCTCGAGCGGATTGCATGTCACCTGTTCGCCAAGGCGAGTTGGCATGTAAAACACCGCGATATCAAATTTCATCATATAAGATTATTGTACGTCGTCTGAGGACAAAATCGGTGCCCCAGCCCATGAGAACTATCCCAATACTGAGTAGCAGTCATTCGAGTCTCAAAGCTGTCCTTGGCAAAACTCAGCACCAAACCCCATGGGATCATGGAAGAACACCACATGTTTGACTGCAAAAAGGCTCATTTGTTTATACAAAATAATGTACATTAGTATCCTGGCGCCGTATGCACGTTCTCAACCAAGCGCGAATTCAATGTTTAGTCGCCGTCCCAAAAAGTGTGTATCCTTACCCAGGGTTTTCAGTGCCATCTGGAAAAGCATAAGAGAATGAAAGGTAACAGGGGATGGTGACAAAAACTAAGTCAAACAGGAAGCAAGGGCAGCGCCACGGGATGCGGCGGTTAGGATTCGCTAATTAAGAAAGATGGGGGATACCCATGACTGACTTGCCAGTTTGATAGATGAAAAGAACGAATACATTATCTATAATTGTCTTATTGGACTGTCGTCTTAAGGGTACACCTTTCTCGCAGTAGCTCCGAGAGTCCGGTCGACCGTCACACTGTACAATAAGATGCAGTGTTTTAGCGAAATACACTCATTTGCAAACCAATTTGGTTCTGCGAGAGACTCACCTGGAACCCAGCTGAATCTCTCGTTTGTGATGTTTCCAGGCAACTGAATGTGCTGCACCAGGCCGCCTCATGTTTCA